GCAATGTCAACGATCAAGGCCGAGAGCAATGCCACGAACAAGGCCGAGAGCAACGTACGTAATTATCAAGGCCGGGAACCATGTCATTATGCGGTTGGCTCGGGATGCGTCTGGGAGTTCCGGAGATTCTAGCGGCCCTCGGCCTCTCGTATTCGGCCATGCGTCTCTGGCCACGCGGGACAACAAGAAACCCTGGAGATCACAGAGCGTATCAATCCCACCAGCCCTTTGGGCGACAGGTGGATTAACGACATTCTTTCTTTCCTCCTCCAAACAACCCCTCTTACCCTTCGGGGAGGGGCTTCCCCCTCCCCCTACCCCCTGCCCTGAACCTGGACGGGGGGGTTCGCGAGCAGTTGGGGCGTCCAAGATGGCTCCAAGAGGGCCTCCGAGAGCCCAAGAGATGGCCTCCAAGATCGCTCAAGATAGCCCAACATGGTCCAAGACAGCTTCCGACATGCCTTCAAGAGGCCTCAAGAGGGCCACAAGACGGATCCAAGTGCTTTTGGAAACCCCTCAGGACCTCCCTGAGAAGCCAACATTCAACAAAAACCTATGGAAACTCAATGATTGTTGCCTTCTCGCCTTTTCGCTTCCGATGCGCTCTTGAGGCCTCAAGATTACCCCAAGATGGCCCAAGAGAGCTCCAAGAGGGGCCCAAAGGGGCCCCCAAGACGGCCCCAAGAACGCCCCCAGAGGGCCGCAAAAACGCCACAAGAGGCGGTTTGGAGGGCTCTTGGGGGGGGGCCCAGATAAGGGACCCCCCACCTTTTGATCGATGGCCTACAAGATGGCCCCAAGAGGCTCTCCGAAGCTCCCGAGAGAGCCCCAAGACAGCCACTCTTGGGCCCCAAGAGGGTCCCAAGACGGCCCCAACAGGCCCCCGAGCGGCCTCAGAGAGCCCAACATGACCTCCAAGATAGCTCAGATAGCCCAAGCTGGCTCAAAACGGCTCCCAGGATGCTCCAAACGGCCCCAAGACCGCTCCAAGAGCGCCCAAGAGCGCTCCAAGAGAACCCCAAGAAGCGGTGGGCTCCTGAGGGGGGAGCTGAGTTGGGGATCCCCCCATCCTGTAATCGATGGCCTCCAAGATGGTCCCAAGAGGGTTTCAAGAGGACCCAGCAGCAGCAGCAGCCGCAAGAATACCTCTAGATGGTTCCATGAGTCCTCGTCCGCGTCGTCCTCATCCTAGTCCTCGTTCTCCTCGCCTTCGTCCTCATCCGCGTCGTCGTCCTCCTCGTCCTCCTCCTCCTCCTCCTCCTCCTCCTCCTCCTCCTCTTCCCTTCGCCCCCACGCGGCCCCCAGGGATGGCCCGAAGAGGCCTTCCAAGGCCACCCCCTTGCTCCCAGAAATCTCTCGGTTCACCCTGGTTGCTCGCTTTGTCTCCCTGGATGTGTCTCTTCGTCCCTTTTCCCGTGGGCTGGGCTTCTGAATGGGCTGGCGGGGATACTTCCCAACCATCCTGTGGTGTTGGGTCCTCGTTTTGAAGAGACGGTGCCCCGCGTCTCCTTCCTCCTCCTCCCGCTGCCTCCTCCCTCCTCCTTCTCATCATCATCATCATCATCATCAGCATCGTCATCATCGTCATCATCCTCCATTTCGGCACACCCCTCACACGTTTCGTGGCCCCATAGGGAACCCCACCGAAGGCCCCAGTGCTGCCGCCCGCATGCGTCCCGCACACCCAATTCGGCACACCCCTCACACGCTTCGTGGCCCCATAGGGAGCCCCACCGAAGGCCCCTGTGCTGCCGCCCGCATGCGTCCCGCACACCCATTCGGCACACCCCTCACACGATTCGTGGCCCCATAGGGAGCCCCACCGAAGGCCCCAATGCTGCCGCCCGCATGCGTCCCGCACACCTGGCACACCCCTCACACGTTTCGTGGCCCCATTGGGAGCCCCACCGAAGGCCCCAGCGCTGCCGCCTGCATGCGTCGCACACCCAATGGCACTCACACGTTCGTGGCCCCATAGGGAGCCCCCCCGAAGGCCCCTGCCGCCCGCATGCGTCCCGCACACCCAATTCGGCACACCCCTCACACGTTTCGTGGCCCCATAGGGAGCCCCACCGAAGGCCCCAGTGCTGCCGCCCGCATGCGTCCCGCACACCCATTCGGCACACCCCTCACACGTTTCGTGGCCCCATAGGGAGCCCCCACCGAAGGCCCCAGTGCTGCCGCCCGCATGCGTCCCGCACACCCAATTCGGCACACCCCTCACACGTTTCGTGGCCCCATAGGGAGCTCCACCGAAGGCCCCAGTGCTGCCGCCCGCATGCGTCCCGCACACCCAATTCGGCACACCCCTCACACGTTTCGTGGCCCCATAGGGAGCCCCACCGAAGGCCCCAGTGCTGCCGCCCGCATGCGTCCCGCACACCCAATTCGGCACACCCCTCACACGTTTCGTGGCCCCATAGGGAGCCCCACCGAAGGCCCCAGTGCTGCCGCCCGCATGCGTCCCGCACACCCAATTCGGCACACCCCTCACACGTTTCGTGGCCCCATAGGGAGCCCCACCGAAGGCCCCAGTGCTGCCGCCCGCATGCGTCCCGCACGCCCAATTCGGCACACCCCTCACACGCTTCGTGGCCCCATAGGGAGCCCCACCGAAGGCCCCAGTGCTGCCGCCCGCATGCGTCCCGCACACCGCGGCACACCCCTCACACGTTTCGTGGCCCCATACACCCCTCACACGTTTCGTGGCCCCATAGGGAGCTCCACCGAAGGCCCCAGTGCTGCCGCCCGCATGCGTCCCGCACCCAATTCGGCACACCCCTCACACGTTTCGTGGCCCCATAGGGAGCTCCACCGAAGGCCCCAGTGCTGCCGCCCGCATGCGTCCACCCCCAATTCGGCACACCCCTCACACGCTTCCTGGCCCCATAGGGAGCCCCACCGAAGGCCCCAGCGCTGCCGCCTGCATGCGTCCCGCACACCCAATCGGCACACCCCTCACACGCTTCGTGGCCCCATAGGGAACCCCACCGAAGGCACCAGTGCTGCCGCCCGCATGCGTCCCGCACACCCAATTCGGCACACCCCTCACACGCTTCGTGGCCCCATAGGGAACCCCACCGAAGGCCCCAGCGCTGCCGCCTGCATGCGTCCCGCACACCCAATCCGGCACACCCCTCACACGCTTCGTGGCCCCATAGGGAGCCCCCCCGAAGGCCCCCGCCCGCATGCGTCACCACCCGCACCCAATTCGGCACACCCCTCACACGTTTCGTGGCCCCATATAGGGAGCTGCATCGAAGGCCCCAGTGGCGGCGCTCACATGCGTCCCCGCCACACATCCCAGTACACCCCTCACGCGCTTCGTGGCCCCATGGGGAACTCCACCGAAGGCCCCAGTAGCGGCGCTTACATGCGTCTCCGCCATCTATCCCGGCACCCCCCCCGCAGCAACATCATGTTTCGGGGACCCATAGGGAGCTCCACTGGAGGCCCCCGTGGCGGCCCGCACATGCGTTTCCGCCACCCATGTCGGCACGCCCCGCGCGTGTTTCGTGTCCCCATAGGTCGCCGAATGCCCCAGTGGCACCCGTCTCGACACACCCCTCACACGTTCCGTAGCCCCATGGGGAGTTCCACTGAAGATGAAGCCCGCAGCTGCGGTACTGACAACTGCATATGGTTGGGTTGTTCGCCATGCTAATTTTTTGGTCGCGGCCGCAAGCGAAGAGCGCAGGTGGCGAGCAGGGTGTCCGGGCCGACGGGCAAGCCTAATTAGCTACAGGGCGCGATCAGCAACGGAGCGCAGCACGGGCCGGCCAGGCCAGCTCACAAACGCGTAATGGTGGGGATACGTTTTTGATTCGCGGCCCGCAAGGAAAAGTCCAGAGGGCGGTGTGAACGAGGCTGGGGCACAGCGCGCGATAATTAGCGCGAGAACGCGCGGAATGCACATGCATGGTGGGGATACGCGAAGCGTGAAGAATAGTTAGGATCACCTCTCGCAATGAGGAGCCCGCCTCTCCGACCACAGGGCAGACGAGGCCCCCCGAAGGTGCGAGGCAAGGGCTTGGCGAAAGCACGGGGCCAGCTGTTTCAAAGACGGACCACGTGCGCTCTGGACTACGGCGGGGCCGGGGCACGCACGAGGGCGCGCTGAGCGGGCGCACGTGCCCTACGCGGCCACTCTACGAGACGTAGAAAATGCGCGCGTCGGGAGCCGCCGCCCGGCCCGCGCCCCGCAGCTCGGCGACTGGAAGATGGCCGCCCGATTCAGAGCCCGAGCACTGCAAGGCCGCCGCTGGGCACGCTGCGGGAGGGAGGGGATCTGGATCCATGTTGGCCTGCCTCTGAAGAGGCACGCCCAAGAGGAAACGCGAGGTGAAACGCAGAGGGCGAGGACCTTGCTATGGGCGCCCCAACTGGCAAAGGCTGCCCGCGGGAGATGGGCAGAGCGAGGGAGGGAGAGGAGGACAAAGGCTCACTGGCCAAGCGCCATAATTAAGTGGCCGAGGAACTCCCGTGTCCCGAAGAGGACGTCACTGCTGGACACCCGCAGGCGCGACAATACAGGAGGGGGTTCTACGGTTCTACGGGCGCATATAGCGGGTGCGATTCGCCTGGGACCTGGCATCATGGCCCCCCCCGGCACTTCGCGCCACCCAGGCCATGTCAAGACCCTGCGACGAAGGAACACCACATTTTAAAAAACGCTTCTGGCGAAAAGGGGAAATACGCGACCTCGGCGAGGAGGTGGCACAGTCCAGAGCGCGCCTTCCATCGAAGGCTTCGGCTCACCCGACGTGCCTCGTGCAACACCAATCCCAACGAGCCGTTTATCAACACAAGCGTGCCAGGCACCCTGGCATTTATAACCTAACAACGTCTTGCCGCTGAAGCGATCCATTCAAGATCCGAGCTCGCACTCCAACTTAGTTGAGTGGAGCACTCCCAATCGGACACGAACATACGGGATAAAACATGTCGCCTTCGACATTAAGAGCATCCTCATGAAAACACTGTCAAGGAATGTCGCTCAATTACCAGGGCCGGGCACTGTTTTTCTCCTTGTCTTTTTTGCTTGCGACAGCCTTGTTCACCCCTCCAAAGTTCGAATCCAGCAGCCACCGCATCATCTGCAGGAAGCCGACGAAATTAAGCTGCCCCCTGGCGTTTGTGCTCATGGACTCTATTCTCGCTGCAAGCGTGGGCTCATCCTTAGTCTGCACCGTGCAGCCCAAACTCTGAAGCAATTTGATGAGAGAATACATGGACAAGCCTTCCTGAAATCCGTCACCGAGGACATCCTCGACTCCCCACGCCTGCATCCCAGGCATGGCATCGATCCCAACTGGCATGTGGTCCAAATCCTTTTCGTGTCTGGCCCACTGAATGAAGGCTTCACGGAACTGCACGATCTCGATGGGCAAGAAGTTCAGTTGCGACGAAGTCTTCAAGACCCTCTCCTCATAGGCGCGCTCTCTGGTTGTCTTCTCCATCCTTAGAAACTGGACGAATTCCCAAAAGGAGTGGACGTTCGGCCCGCATGCAGCCTCCACGCCTGCTTCCTTGGTGAGCTTCTGTGCCTTTTCCAGGCGCGTCATGACCGCCGCCTGGCTCTCCTTCGTCTTCAACTCGATGCCCACGTGTCTCAGCAACTTCATCAACTCTTTATCGTCGATGTCGCCACTGCCATCTACGTCGTACATCGAGAAGACAGCTTGGCAACGTCTGATCTCGCTGTCGGAAAACCCTGCCTTCAGCCGGTCCCAGACGTTGCGGACGGTCCTGAGCAGGTCCGCGAGCTCGACGAAGGCGTCGAAATCGACCCCGTCGGTACCACATGACTGCAAGGCCGGCAGGGAGTCCGCGAAGGCTTCAGCGATTCGCTCGGACGCCTTAGAGAACGAATACAAACACATACACATGAACTGTCGGATGTCCACAGGGATTTCTTGGGACAGCGCTGAACGTCCCAGCCCCGCAGGCCTTCTCCAAAGCGCCGCCAGGCTTGCCGGGAGGGGGGTCCAGCGCCGATCCAAGAAATCCGCGCGAACCTACGACAAATCATGCAATTGTTAAGATATCTTCTTTTTGGCAACATATATGTGAACGGCCCGGGAGCCTAAGAAGGGTACCGTGATCACGAAAGCGGTGAGAACAACTGCAGAGCCTCAAGGTCGGGGGCCTCTCCACGGAAACTCCGATGATCAAAACACTGACGCGCCCGAGCAAATTGCAGCCGCGGGCCGAAACCTTCTCCATTCTTCGCTCCATCCAAATGGAATTTGCTTGCGTTTACCATTGTCTTGGATTATAAAAGGAACCCTGCCAAAACATCGTCGTCGTTGCAGTCTGCCGCTGCGGTCGTCCGTCGCCGCCCGCTGCCGGGAGGGTCGCCGCCGCCGCCACCTTCCCAGACGGATCGCCGTCGTCGCCACGTCGTCGCAGTCGCCGCCGCCGCCCAGGACGCCTCAGCCAAGCACTGCGCGCAAGGGCGCCGCAGACGGCGTGATAGCCGTCGCCATCCTACCGTCGTCGCCGTCGTCGCCGCAGCTGACCCAGAAGCCTTCGTCGAGCAAAGCGCGTCGAGCGGGAACCACATGTCCCCGTGCAGCTCGGAGCGGCACCGGACGACCCCGACATCTTCGTCCACCTCGACCACGTACACCACGGAGCCCGCCGCTGCACCTCGGGCCAACGTCGGGCAGACGGCGCCTGACGATGAAGACGACGACGACAATGACAACGACAACGACGACGACGACGACGACGACGACGACGACGACGACGGAGACAACGACGACGACGACGCGACAACAACGACGGCGACGACGACCACGACGTCGAAGACGACGAGGAGGATGACAATGGCGGCTGTGGCGACGCCAACGGCCACGTCAACGCCGACATGTCGTTTCGGATGTCTTTAGGAGCTTCTTGGGGTCTTCTCGTCGCCGTCGCTGGAGCCGAGCTTGGAGAGACGGGCCGCCGAGCGAGCGAACGCCGACGAGCGGCCGCCGAGCGGCCGCCGCAGACGCGACGACGACGGCGTAAACGAGGACGGCGTACACGACGGAGGCGACGGCGGCGGCAGCGACACCGACGGCGAGATGACCGCGGCTCGACGCGCTGCGCTCGACGGAGGCGTCCGTGACGGCGGCGGGGCGGAGGCGACGACGACGACGACGACGACGACGACGACGACGACGACGACGACGACGGCGTCCACGACGGCGACAGCGGCGACAGCGGCGGCTTCACCTCGGGCCACGTTGTCTCCGTCCGAGAGAACGGCCTTCGTGCACGCCGACTTGACCGCGTTGGCGTCACTCACCACCTGCACGACGTCCCCCCTGCCCAGGCTTCTGATGTCCTAGAGGAAGAAAGAGCGGCATAAACATAAACTTTAGACGGTCCGCGTGGAATTCTTGGATCTGCTCTGGACCCCCCTTCCTGGTGCGCGGAGCGCGCCAGGGGAGGTGCCGGAGGCGCCGCCAGGGAGGCCCAGCACAGATCCAAGAAATCCGCGCGGCGCCA